ATGTGTGAGTGCTATTGGTTGCACTTTGCGATCAGATGTAGTGCATTTTAATCAAGTAGATCATTTGGGAGGAGATGAGAGAGCACCAAAAGTAGTCACTGATCTTTTTTTGCATGAAGATGGTCCCCTATATCCTAGTAGAATAGCGGAAGTACCTGCAAGATTGAATTCCCATGTATGACACTGTGCTGAAAGTCTTCGCCGGTGGAGAACAGATGCATATGATGAGCTAACCTCAAGCTCTGAAGCAGTTCATCTTCTGATGAGTTTGGATCTGTGAGAACAGCTACCACTTTGTGGTCCTCCTGGCACAGCACATACACATATGGGCCATACAACCACAGAAACACTAATATTTCGAGGGAGAACCAGGGAAGCGCCAACAGCATGTGGAAAGTGATGAGTCATGCATAGATGCAAGATCCTGGTGATGTCGCCCTCCAGTGCCAAAGTATAGGAGAGAAGGGATTAAATGGGGGGGGATAAGGTGGAGCACCAGCAGAAGCTCAATGTACTTGATCTTGAAGCAAAATTTGTGCTACCATTTCTCCTCGCTCAGCATCTGCACCCGTTCCCGTTCCCCTGCCAATAGGTAAAGATGGCCCAAAAGAAAGTGCATCCACCCATTCCCTCCAAGAATGCTGCAAGAGAACCAATCTGCTTGTCTGGTCATCGTTATTGTGGCCCATCTGAATGTTCGGCCAAAATGAAAGAAGATCCACTAGCTAATTACCAGGGAGAACTTAGGGTGAACAGGATTGCCTATTGAGCCACCATAGTACATGATGTCCTGGGGACAGGATATCACAAATGTGATCCAATGGTTCTTGTCAATGTTTGTGACACTTGCCAAGTTGAAGTTGTGATGCACCATGTGTGCACCAAACTTGAGAACCGTTGAATGAAACTGTCTTTGTTGTTGAACACATGGAGGATAGACTTATAGATATATAATGAACTGGTGTCTTCCCGCCCTGGCTAGATCCCTCAGCAGCTCCAATTGCACATCCATGTGCCATGTTGAGAGCTAATTATGGCTGACAAAGGCGGCCAAGCACCTAATCGGTTTTGGGTCTGAAAAATCTGGCAGCATTTCATCATTGCTTGCACTGATACAGCATCTCTAGTGCAGTGCACATCACAGCTGTGACTGATGGCTGCCTGACATGCAGATCCAACTATGAACTACGTGCAGATCCAACTATGAACTGACCGGCCACAGCAGTAAACTTTCCGCACTCTGCCAGCACTTCTGGCACTCTAGCCCCTGTGACCGCCTGCCAATAGGGAATGATACATATTAGAAGAGTCTCATGGCATGATAGAGAAAGTAATATGCTGATTTGAATCAGCCTGATGAATGATTTGGCATGGTCTCCCTATGAGCACTAGCCACCTACCAAGATCCACTTTGTATTAGGTATCATCATGTCAATGCCTTTTGGTTACGGAAAATGCCACAAGCATTTCATTGTGTGGTGGGAGGAATGTTAATCAAGGTGGGACATTTAACACACCGGTGCGAGCACTCTTGGCTTTAAGGAATTTCGCTCCTGGCAGAATCTGGGGATGGGGACAGTGAGACCCAGCCTTAGATGTTTTGTCGGCTGGTTGTAGTGGCTGGCTGGCCACAACTGGATTGCACTGGCTGGTCTATATAATGGGTGCTTGTCAAAAGGGTCCACATGCCCGCCAGCCACCAGAGCAGTGAGCTCTTCAGGAGCATATCCCATGATATGTACATGGAATTTGCATGCTAGTAGCCAGGGACTGACCACCCGGGCATCCACAGTAGAATCCGGCATCTTATTCTGCGCATCAACCTCTTTTCACACCTTGGACATCAATACCTCCACTGCTGCTAGGGGAAGCTCGAGACTGGTGATGGACAGTACATGTAATTTTTTGCATGCATCCTGTAAATCACTTAATTTGATGTTGTTCCCCTTCCATTGTAAGTAGTTAAAATTGACATAGTCCGCCAACATAATACCTAGCAGGGATGGGCTGTTGTAAACAATTGATGTTCCTATACACATGAGACTGTGAAGTGAGGCATAGGTCAAGCATGTTTTTTTTCTTGCAACCATGGGAGCACGTCCTCCAAAGCTAAATATTGATCTCCTCCATATTTGGTATGGGCCAGTTTGTACAATTGTGCCAGACCTGCACTTTGGGCTACCACCCTAAGGGGGCTCTTAGACCCCTTGTTGGTGATTCAAGAAGGGGTCTAAGAGCCCCCAATCCTGGCATTTCCTAAGGACACTTTTTGCAGTCCTAGGACTCTAGGGCCCTAGGATCCTGGTCCTCCAGCAGGGCCCAGGACTCTGTTAGAATAGTGCCCTCAGGACCCTGCTATCATAGTGTCCTCAGGACTCTAGGGTCCTAGGATCCTGGCCCTCCAGCAGGGCCCTAGGACCCTGTTTCTCTTTGGCCTGTCCATCCTTTACACCATCCATCAACACAGCTCACCACTTCTCATTGACCTACTAGCTGGATCACTTAATACACAAGCCTGAGACACATGTTGGGAGAGAGGGTTTTAATTATGGGGGGATTTCATTTATAGTCTCATTTTCTACCTGAATTACATATTGAAAAAAAACAGAGACCTTGAAGACATGCTAGCTTCCCATTGTGCACACTTTACCGCCATCAACAATCATTTGCAACAAACCAACTTTGCCAATTTTAAATGTCTCACGCTAGGCATGTTCTATAACTCCATCAATACAATCTAGGATTATTTTCCTCACACCACAGTGAGACGCCCTGGTACATGTTATGGGTGTTCAAGAAATACATGATTTGCCCGCTATTACCAACACAAGAAACAGAATGAATTAGCAAATGATAACTACATTTCTCCCATGATCCTTAACACATATGTGATACTTGAAATATGACATTATTTGAAGCTCTATATGTATCATTTTGCTGAACTTTTGCGATACAATTTATAGCAATACTATGTAGTGTTTGAAGATGTGTGTGCGGAGATGGCTGCACTAGATTTATTCTGCACTTCATGAGTTTAAGTTCAGGTAGAAAATGATTGCTGCATGTTGCCTACATGCTCATTCTTTTCAATTCAACAGCATTCTTATCTGGTTCTTGGTCCTTGCCTTCTGCAGGAGCATGGTGGTAGGATGTATACTTGCACATGTTAATGACCCTGACAAATTAAATCCCACTAGAACCAGATTTTTAAGGAACACATTTGGGGGTAGGGACTAGAGTGGGTGTAGGGAGGGAGAGTGTGGTGATCATGGAAAGGTACATGGTGGGGTCAGTGAAGAGCTTGCTGTAGTGGCCTGTGTGCGGATGCCGAGGTGGAGCCAATGGCAAAAGGACTTTGGCCCGTTCATCTCCTCGTTCACGGCTGTGGAATATTGGTGATTCTCGTGGATTCTGAAGGCATAGCCCAACACTGTATTGTTCCGCAGGGCGACTAAGTTGCAGAACCAGGTCATGAATTGAAACCTGTGGGGACGAAAGTGAGAGTGATAAGTCCAAGTAATACCAGTTATGTGAATGAGGACTCACTCTCGATAAATTTGTGCTACTACATCACTATGGCAGACACCAGCTAGCACTACTAAAGTGTGGTGAATACCACCACACAACACCTCTAAGCTGATCTTCTGTGTATCCTGTTGGGATCAACTACTGTCCAGACAGGTTCTGGATGGCAGACCCCCTGCAATTGCCTTCAGCATTTGCTGATACTGTGCTGGAGCCAGGCAACCAATACTTTACACCCAGGAGAGAGATGATCTAGATAGTAGAAACCTGCCTTTCGATCCAGCGGTAGATCCCAAAGGCTTTTTGGAGGTTATTCGTGCTTTGACACATTTTCACAGACAAGACAACCAAGTCATGTACTTTGTAGTGCTCGTGGATGATGGCCGGCACAAGTAAGCACTTTCACTTCAGGCTTCCTCTGAACCAGGTCTCTTAGACCCCTTAGACCTGAACTGAAAGGGGTCTAAGAGAAGCAAGCTCTTCACTGACCCCACCATGTACCTTTCCATGATCACCACACTCTCCCTCCCTACACCCACTCCAGTCCCTACCCCCAAATGTGTTCCTTAAAAATCTGGTTCTAGTGGGATTTAATTTGTCAGGGTCATTAACATGTGCAAGTATACATCCTACCACCATGCTCCTGCAGAAGGCAAGGACCAGGAACCAGATAAGAATGCTGTTGAATAAAGTGGTGTCTGATCCTGTAGGAAGAAGCTGATATAATAGAGCAAGGTCTCTTAGAGACTTCAGAATGGTAAGCCATTATACAAAGGCGTGCAGAATAGACATGTGTGTGATATGCATTGTTGACCTCATGCAATTAGCTGTAGTCATATTATCCGGCCACATTGACCTTTCCAGCACAGTTACCAAACTGTTCTGTCAACGAGCTCTGCAAGAGGACAACTTGAGGCCTTTTGCTATTGTTTGAGAGTGGATGCATGTCACTACATGCTTTTGTATATCACATTCAGACCCATATACAATACAATGGAACCAGGATGAAATGATCGCTATGTTGAAGGCTATAGTAGAGGAATAGAACATGGGAAAGGTTATACTCTGAGTCATGTAGAATGTATGAATGAAGCGTAGACAGTGTAGAATGGAGCAAACACAGAGAGAGTAGACAGGGGATCCAAATGCCACATTGACACTTTATCAACACTGAATTAGTGTTCGCTTCAATGTGTTATCTGTTTCAACCTTTAAACGGGATTCATTGGTGTGCCTCGCTAGTGATGTATGTCAACAATCTGAAGAAGGAACTCGCTGAGCTCGTGGGGCAGCTTGAGGGGCTGGAAGGAGATGCTGAGCTGGTGAAGAAGAAAATTGAAGCTATGGAGAAACAGATAAGACAAGCCATGAAGGACTTGTACGCACAGGAAGATGACGAGACATGTGTGGCCATCAATGCCCACATTGTGTTAAAGGATAATGATGGCAGTGGAATAACATTGTCATGGAAAAAGCGGCCAGACCTGGAATTGAACTAGGGACCTCCTGATAGACACTCAGAGATGCAACCAACTACACCATCCAGCCTTAGGAGACAGTAAACCTTTAGGCTATACACACACACAATTCAGTGGGATTCCTCAGAACTGTTCTCGACAGCCTAGACTGAAATTTTGCTGAGCAGCACAGGCCAGCCGGAGCTGGCCAGGTCAAAAAGGGGTGAGAACAGTGCTACTGGCCAGACATAAATTGGTCTTTGCTTTATATATGATACATACAGTATAGTACTGACTGACTATACATTTTGAATTGTACTAGGTTCAGAGTGGTGTAGGCTGGCCAGAGGGAAGACTTTGGGAAAGGTGTAGCATGGTACTGGCTGGCCAAGTGGAAACAGGCACAGCATGGTACTGGCTGGCCAGAAAGTAGAGGGGAAAATAGATTCAGTATGGTGAAATTTGCTGCCAACACAGACCTGAGACTGGCAAAGTCATTATCTCTAAAAGAGCACATTTTGATGAAAGGAATTTTCCTGGACTCAAGGGACAACACTATGGATTACAGGGGGGATAGACAGTGACGAATCTAGCGACTCTCCCAATTTAAATCCTCAGCATACACCAGTTGCTCCACCAAAAGCGCCAGCTTCTGCACCACCTGCAACACCCCCAAAAAATTGTAGGCCTGCACCATCACTTTCACCAGATCTTGCACCACCAACTATCTGTCAACCAGCATGGCTTCACACTCCACCACCTACATGCCCTGCTCCTCCACCCACTGCTCCTACATGTGAGCACATCTATCACCACACATCACAGCCATCAGGACAGCGTAGTCCAGACTCTGATCCACCATCTTCACCTGACCCACTTGCTGGCCCTGTCGACGAAAATCCCTTTGAGGATCTCTTTGGCTACAGCAAACCTACCAGTTCAAATAATTTCGATTTTGGACTCGATCTGGGAGGCGCACCAGCCACATCAGCTTCTACACAGGAAGACATCAAAAGCAAAGAAGAACAGGAGCAAGAGGAAAAAGTTGAAGAGGAGAAAGTTGAAGAGGAGAAAGTTGAAGAGGAAGAAGATGATGAGGATGAGGATTAAGATGAAGAGGATGATGAAGAAGACGATAAAGACACCAGCAGTGCAGACAAAATGAACATTGGATCAGAACAAGCCTTTGCTGCAGTGTCCAAGACAGAACCAGACCCTCATGGATTGGACGATGTTTTATAGGGTTTAACCCAGTAAAGCGTGGAAAGATGATGCAGGGTGATGCAGGATGGAGAGTGTACATCCAGAGGCGTACAAGCACGAGCAGAAGTGTGGCAGGGAACACAAAAAAATGCACAATACCTAGAAGCAAATCAGGAAGCTGGTGAACTTCCTGTCGCTCCTAGGACTATATACTAATCGTACACAGAAGCGAAATCAGGAAGCTAATTAATTATAAGTCAAAACATACAAACTCACCTAGAAGCGAAATCAGGAAGCTGGTGAACTTCCTGTCGCTCCTAGGACTATATACTAATCATAGACAATAGCTAAGGTCCGAGACAATAAGGACAATAAGAGCAATAGGTAACAAAGATAATAAAGCCAGAACAATAGAACAATAGAACAATAAGATGTAACTGTCAATCATTTATCTGTCAAACTCTATAATAACTGTCAATCAATGACTAGGAAAAGTGCTGGGTCACTGATCTCCAACATTTTTCTCAACAGGCACTGCACCAATTGTCTCACTTCTTATTGCTACATACAGCCTATGTATATGGCTATCTGTGAATGATATGTTATGCCACTAATGGAAATTTAGTAGAAGTTATAGTCAGAAAACAGCACAAATACTTAATTTTTGTCTACAGCCTTCATGTAAGCCTTCCTAGCACTACTGGGGGGAGTGGGCCATCACAAGCGTGGCAGGTACAAGTCCATCCCTACTGGGCTGAGGAGAAAAGGGAAGTAGCCCCATCTGCAGCAGCTCAGTCATCTATTTGGCAGCCCCATCCCTCTTTATATTGCTGATCTGCTGCTCTTTCTTAATCACCCACAGGCCTTCCTTGAACAGGCATGGGGAATCTCATTACTTCAAGGTGCTTGTAGAAGAAGAAGCAGGCATCACACTCACCAACCTACTCCTCCCAGCACTCAACTGTAAGGTAGGCTTCAACTCTTCAGACACACCCAGATCTGATGTGTCCTGCCATCATGTTACAAAGCTTTTTAGTGGATAAGTGGGAGATTCCCACATTTACTATCCTGCACCCACACAAGTTGAACAAAGCACCTCTGACTCAAGACTTGGTGTGCACTGTTCAATTTGTGTGTTTAATATAAGAGCCTGCATGCCCAGCAATAGAATATGGAATTCTCACCTTTATAATCCTGCACCAGGTGGTCTTCTGATCTTGCCTGAGGGGATAAGTTGAGGCACAAGTTGAACAGCTCACCTCTGAAATTTAATTTATATATATATCAGTGTCTCAGCTCCAAATCTCTGACGGTGAAGGGAGCTGAGATGCTGATATACAAACTTACAGTAAAGGTACTGGTCCATCGCCGACGGCTAGAATTACAAACTTAATAATCTCATCTCCATGATAAGTAAACATTAACACTCAATTGTTTACTGCAGCCTGTCTTTCCATCATATTCCGTGTATTCAAGAGTGTTCAGTAATGTCAATAATTATAATTTGGGAGTTTTAGTCTACCGCTGGGTGGTTCCGTGCATATATCCTATCTATAGCCCTATCCACCATCTCCTGTGCCTGAAGCCTAGTGAATCCTTCAGCCAGCAGGGTCTTATAGTAATAATCCCTCTCGCAAGAGACTGCTGAGCGCTTCTGTTCTAGTTTGGTCTCCAATTTCAAACTTTTCTCTCTCTCTCATGCCCCCGAGATCGTCCACACTATGGAGGGCTTGAAAGTTGTCACACATTTGTTTAGGGCAATATATTGTATCAAAACTTGGCCTTCGCTCTGAGCCTGTTCATTATTTTACCATGTCTGGCACTCTCAAAGATTGGCTTTAACACAGACATCGGCTGTATCTTCAAACACACAATTTTGAATGCTCTGGTGTCTGGCACCCACTCTACCATCACGAACATGAAGTGGGTCTGGGTGTTCTTCGGATTGTCGTGAAGATTGAAGAAAAAGCCTGAATAAGCGTGAAACTTGGATGGATTGGACATCATTAGGAAAGAAGTGAATGTGGTAGAGTGGCTGCCAGACACCAGAGCATTCAAAATTGTGCGTTTGAAGATACAGCCGATGTCTGTGTTAAAGCCAATCTTTGAGAGTGTCAGACACGGCGAAAGCATGTGAACTGAGGTCAAACAGGCTCAGAGGGAAGGCCAAGTTTTGATACAATATATCACCATAAACTCCATCACGACCTCCGCCGCATGGTCGCTCTCCAGGCCATGGAAGAGAAGAAAAAGTTTGAAATTGGAGCGCAAGCTAGAACGAAAGTGCTTGGCAGCTAGCTCTTTCAATTTTTGATGGAATTTTTGCATCCTGATCATCGGTGATGGACCGGCACCTTTGATATGCCAGTGGCATTCCAAGTGTCCTCAAGTTTCCTAGGTGTTTCAACTCATACCACACTTGATTCGTATCTACAGGATTATATGTATGTCAATGACCTGTCCTTCCTCTTCTTCTTCTTCATTATAATAGCTGTCTTCTATAGACGACCTATGAAGCCCAAGCTCATCCAATATTCCCTGTGCCCTAGTTCTGGAGTAGCCTTGATCCAGCATGGTATTATAGAACTTTTCCACCATGGAATGGCCAGCTGCCAAGCACTTTTGTTCCAGTTTGTGCTTCAATTTCAGACTGTTATTTTTCTCCCATGCCCCTGAGGGCAACCACACTACGGAGGTCTCAAGGGATGAGTTTACGACGACAAATTTTAACAAAACTTGGCCTTTGCGCTGAGCATGTTCACAGTGTTCGAAAGTTTCAGAGCGTAGGTTTGATTTTAATTTCAACATTGAGCGTTTCTGCAAGCACAACTCGTGGAATCCTCGTTCGTTGGGCGCCCACTGCACAATCACCCAAATGTAGTGCGTCTGCGCTTTCTTCGGATTGTCGTGAAGACCGAGGAAAAAGCCTGAATAAGCGTGAAACTTGGATGGGTTGGACACAAATTAGCATATCAGACACTGTCCTTGTGTACCGTGATCACGTACCAAGTCACAGTATTTATTAACCCACCGTTGGAATTGATAACACATCTGACCATCACTGTATACCTGACCACTCAGATTCATGCTAAAGCAGGAAGATCTATGCCTGGACCAATGTGCCTTTTGGCACCGCCGTGACTAATCGGGTCTGATCAATGTTTGATCGACGCGGTGATTAGAGCTGTGGATGCACACAATAGACCACTTGTGTGCAGGGACATATTTTGAGCTTGTATTGGCTGTCATTGCAATGACTGCATGTGTTAAGAGATTGCCGGGAGTGCTCATGATGGTGGAAGGAAAGAAGTGAATGTCAAGGTCTCATAATCAGTTCGGTTCTGTAGAGGATTGTGTATATATGCACGACCTATGTCACGACTGTCTCCACAATATATCCTGTGTCATTCCACCTGTCTGTTAGAGATGGCCTACGAATGCCTTTCTCGCGTAATGTTTCCCGTGCCTTGGCCCTAGAGAAGCGCCGATTCCGCATATGCCTATAGAGGATATCCCCCACGGAAGGGCCAGTTGCCACGCACTTTCGTTCCAGTTTGCGCTTCACTTCCAAATTGTTGTCTTTCTCCCATTCCCCTGACATCGACCACACTATGGAGCCCTGGAGGGATGGGTTTATGGCGATAAATTTTATCAAAACCTGGCCTTCACACTGATACTGTTGGCAGTGTTGGAAAAATTTGGGGTATGGTTGCAACTCAGACATTGGCAGTGCCTTCAAGCGCAACTCGTGGATTTGGTGGTCGGGCGCCCACTGCACAAGCACAAAAATGTAATCCGTCTGCGCTTTCTCCGGGTGGTTATGAAGGTCGAGGACAAAGCTTGAATAAGCGTGAAACTTGGATAGGTTGGACACGAATTAGTATATCA